GATCCCAGTCATCCTTGTGTATTTTTATCTGCCGATACATTTTTGTGATGTCGGTGGAGAAGAGATCCCTTTGTCTTCTAATCCAAATTAAAACGTCTGATATGTCAGGATTCAAATTGGGTCCAGTATGCATAATATCATTTAGTGACAGGCTTGATGTCGTTTTGCTGGAACCATTGAATACCACTCTTAATTTGGTCATTTCGCTATCTGGTTTAAATACACCGTGATGTGGCACATAATATTGGACCTCTTGATTTGAGGTTGCAGGCGCTCTTACCATGCGGCCAAGATCTATATATTCCTTCATGAATCATTGATATGATTCTCGATACTCCTGGTTTCTTGGAAACTTCCTTAATAAGCTATGTTGGCAGCAGCTTGCTATTTTGAATGAATCACGAAGGCGATTGGTAGATGCACTACGCGGAATTCGCACTGTGTATATTCCGGAGGTGTCTCGGGAGTACGCATTATTGTACTGGTCCTCGCACTGCTGTTCATCTAGTGTATATTTCTTAACTTCGCTTGGTTGGGGTTTTTAATGAACTGAAAATTTTAGCAGTGAATAATGTACTGCAGTTTCGTCATCCTACGTCTTTGCTTGGTAGACTGTCGAATTCACAATTTTCGTGGAGTCGTTGGGTCCTAGCACTAGCCACCCAAAAACTGATAATTGTGCCATTGGCATTGATGGCGAGGGGATGATGACATGGACTTTCATAACCTGTCCGTATGTGTCAGCTCCAAGAATGATATCTACTGAGCGTGGTGCAAGATACTACGGATCGGCCAGTGTTAACCCATTTAGATGAGGCTAATCTGGTGAAGTTATTTTAAATGAAGGAGTAATTATACGTCAATTTCTTGAGAACATGGGCTTGAGTGGTGACACTGGAGCTCGAGTGAATTGAATTGAGAGTAAGTGATACTAATCCTTGCGTTGTTGTTGACATAGCTCCCCCAATTCCATGAATTTTGATGACGGAATGTTGTTTGGGAATATTGAGTTGGTTAACAAGAATGTCAGTGACGAACGAGAGTTTAGAGCCTGAATCAATTAGTAGACGAGCTTGTTTAGTGGCTGTATCTAATCGTATTTCAGCCATAGCGGTTGCAAGCTGTTGTGTAATGGAATGGTGTTTCGACGATTACATCTTTACCTCATTTGTTCTCTGGTTCTGAAGAGTTAGCTGGTGGCTGATTTCCAGTTTGTTCCTCGTGTAATAATACATTGTGTTCCTTGGAGCATTGTTTGCAAGATGCAGGTTTTTTACAGGGTCCTTTATGATCGTCCAAACATGATTGGCACAGTCCTATTCTGCGCACTAGATTAAGAGTTTCGGGAATTGAGAGTTTCCGAAAGCTGAAGCACATCGTGACGTGATGTCGTTTGGAGCAATACTTGCAGTCGTTTGTCTACGCTGGACCTGTGGATTTGTTTGTGAGTGAGCTTTTTGTGGATACCTGATACGAACTTGATGTTCCTTTTGTTGGCTTCGTTCACAATTTTGTAGGCATGGGAGCACGTTGGGTGGTGGGTCTGAGTGTATTTGTTGTTGCCTTTAATGACTTCAGCGTCCTTGCTCGAGCCATTAAGAGCTTATCCAATCTTGCAAATGTTGGATAATCTGTGTCATTGCTGATAGATGCCTCCCACAGTTCTTGAGTGCCACGATCAAGACGATGTGAAGCGAGATATACCAATACATAGCTCCACAGCTCTTCGGTAGTTCCAACGCCTGTTAACCTTTTAGCTGTTTCTCCAAAATGATAGTTAATGTTTCCAAATCTTCACGTTCTCGCTTGATTCTTGAGCAATTAGAGAATGCTTGCCTGAAATATGAGTGGATTATTATTCGCTTGTTATCATACCGGGATTTCAGCGATTCCCATGTTGACATTAATGCATCGCCTGTTGGTGGAAAACTACACATTAGCTGAGCTGCTGGACCATGTACTGCAGAGCGGAGGTGGTGCAATTTCTTCACATCATTGCTTTCTGCGTTGTCCATGACTACTGTTTTAAAGAGGTCATGGAATGCTTGCCACTCCTATTCCTTTCCTGAGAATTGCGGAATGGTGACAGTTGGTAGTCTGCTGCCCTTAGGTTTTGTCTTGATTGTAGTCTCTTTAGATTCTCCCGAAGGTTTGCAATCTGGGCGACATTGGATTATGGTTACTCTTGCTTCTCTATATAGAGATGATTCCTCTTCGAAGGTATCATCAAAATATTCGTGACCGTCATCGGTGTTGGTCCATGTCGACACTAGATGTGTGTGTTCCTTTTGGAATGTCTTATGTTCTTCTTCTACGTATGCTAATGCTTCAGCGATTTCATGGGAGGTTTTCTCTCTCTTGGGTGCCTCAAATTCTTCTATAAACTGTTTGAGGCGTCATGCGCGTATATTGCATGTTGATCTTTGTCCATTATTCAAAGGATAAGTCTGTGGATGAGGCGCTCCTGAGTGTCTTTCTTCTGGTACTTCTTGGAGATTTATCGCCACTTGGTTGTTCAGTATTTTCCATTTTTTTGTTTGTGTTGTAGTTCTACAAAAGGGAGAGAGGTTGCTAATCTACTGCTACCTTTTGTTCTTGTCCTCTCGATGATAAGTTGTTACCCGCAGGAATGGAAGGATACAGAGCTCCCGCTGCTTATTAGTATAATGACTTCTCTTGTGACAAATATGGTGATGAACTTGTAAAATATAATATTAAACTCTCACGGTTGCACAGCACTGTTGAGCTGTACTAATTTCCACTATATCCGGGCTGTCAAGGATGAATTATTCCGTGGTTCAGATGACCGGCTCTTCTCGATGTCTCTGCTATCCAACGCTACGGCTTTCCGGACATCCGAGTCGAAGGATCAACAATCCAATGATCCGGCTGGAAGGACCAAATGTTCGAAATTATAGTGATGTTATTCTTGGATCGAACTACCAATGCTTCAATAGTTTAGTTTGTGTACCAATGCATAGTATTCTGGTAAGATTGTAGGCACACGTGCGACGCAGATTGTCGCGTATGTAATTTCAAAATTTAACAAAAGTTGAATGAATATTCTAAAAATAATATAACTATACATTTATTACTCATGTTTTTTGTAATTTTATATAAATTATAATTTTTAATTTTTAATTTTATTTTAAATTTGAAATATAAGTAAATAGTAAAATTAATATTATACTGTAATAATTTTATCATTCAATTTGAAGTTCACGTAATTATCTAAGAGTATAATTAAGGTAAGCAATGATTTTTAATGTTTTTAGGTTTGATTTATCTGTTGATAAATATTAGATATATTTTATTATTGATAATTGCTTTTTATTATATATTTATCCCATTTAATTTATATTTGATTATATGTTGCCTTATTATTTGATATTTCTAAAGTTTTAAACGTGTTATATATTTTTTATATTATATTTTATATATTTTTTATTTTATATTACATTATTTGTAAAGTAAAATTGTTGAAAAATACTTAGATATTAATGATTATAAAAATTAATTCACAGTATAATTTTTTAAATATTCTCATATGATAAACAAACATATTTTAAATGCTAAGCTGTAATTTGGTATATTTTTTAAATGCATCCTAAAAAATTAGAAATAATTGTCATTGATTTTAATATCCGCTGTATCTCTAAAATCATTTAGATGTACTAGATTTTTTAATTATTTAGCAAGAAGATTGGTTTTAGACATTTAAATAGGAACTGTTTTAATAATATCATAAATTTTATTATGTTATATTGATAAGATAAATATTGATTAAAATACTTGATTATTAAATATAATATTGATAATTGACTATTATAGATAAATATTGATTAAACTGCTTGAAAAAGGAGTAAAAAATGTACAAGATGCAATCATAATAATTAGTATTGAATATTTATTTATTTTTAATTGTTTTATCATGTTACAATATATAAATTGATCTCAAACTCTGTACTATCTACTCGACGAATAATTCAAAATTCTTTACAAGGTAAGTGTTGTAGTTTAATGATAATTTAATTTCATGAATATATTTTAAGTATAGCAACATAAATTCTATGGTATTTACACATGAAATGTATATATACACATTGACACTTGTACTGAAGCACCAAGTAGAAATCAATTTATTGTAAAATAAGCATTAATTCAGTAATCTAATAAATACATTATAAGAAATTAAAATATTTAGTAATACACTCTTGTAATTTATACTTCCTAATAACGTATGACAACAAAATATTTATATTATTTTTTTAGTTTTAGTTTTTAAAAACTACCTACATAACATCAATTTCTAATAAAAGCAAGAAATTAAAAACAGAAAAATTAATATGATACAATTAGTACAATTATTTACAATGATAAATTCAAGTGAAACTTCAAATACTTGAAGTTGTAATCAAGTGACGATAACAAACTATTCATTTCCTTCACATTTTTTCATTTGCTTAATCTGCATTTGCTTTGTTTCCTGTAACGAATATAAATAATAATTTTTATTTAGACATAATTTCTTTTAGAAACTGTAACAATTATAAAACAAAACCAATGGTAAAAAATAAGAATGGCACTTTAATTCACGGTAAAATAACGAAAAATTTTTTTTCAAATTTAATATCTTATTAGAAAGGAATAAGGGCTCAAAGAGGTTTGATAGATTTTGTATTGGTCAGATCTATGTCATCTATGCATTCTCATCTATTGCTAGGAATTTAGCAAAGTAAATCTAGTAGAGAGAAAGTGACATAAATAATTGAACAAAAAAAGATTTTATTGTATTATTCTTGATTTATAAAAAATATATTAATAGTTAAATTTTATGGTGTACCAATGAAAAAGAAACTCTGTTTCTTTTATGTTTCATCTATCAATTAAATTAGTTTAATGTTTGAAAATATTATGTTTAATTCGATTTTTTGTGTTTAGATCAATCATATGACATTTTTTCAATTATAATATATACATTATAACGTTAGCAATTGTTAACGATGAAAAAAAAACAATGTGGAGATGAAAAATAAAATTGGCGGAACATAAAGAAGTTACTTCGCAATTACATAAAAACATATGACGGTGCATCCACATATTTTAATAATTACTTAATTTCTTAAAATTAAAAGATTATTAATTATGAAAACTCGAAGACTAGTATTGAATAATGGCCTATTGCTTAGGCCTGGGATTTTTTGTTCTTCATTTTAAACCATCCTGCGCTCTTATTGGGATCTCGTGGGACGGATGTGGATCGGTGTAGTTCTTGTCGAGAATTTACATTCCGCGACTTGCTAGCTAATGATTCTGTAGAAACAGTTCTATCCACTTTTTGTTTATCTTTTGACTTTAGTGTGCTGCGATTGGTTGTACCTAAAACATGTCAGAATAAGAATTTTTAAAGAAATTTATTATTAATTAATAATACTGTGAAAATAGAAATTAATTTTTTTTTGTAACACTTAAAAATCTATTATACTGAATCAAAATATTCTATTAAGATATTAAGTCTTTGTATTATTATAAAATCTTATAAAGTATTAATATAATATCTAAATAATCTATAGTATCTAAATAAATGATCGAATTAATATTCGATATAACAGTAATATCTACAAAACTTTATAAAATAAAGTGGTTTGTAATTAGTTTATTTTTAATTATATATTTAAATATATTTTAAATATATCTAATAATAATAATAATAATAATAATATATATATATATATATATTATAGATATATTATTTATCTTTCAATTAAATACTTAATATTCATTATACATTTTATGAAGTATTGTTAATACATAATTTGCATAAAAACGATTATGTTAATTTTAATATTAATTTTTAAAGATAATTCAATGTCCTTATTTTTAGTATTTATAATAATTAAACAAATAGTATAGCAATTCGATTATCATTTAAAAACTTTTATTCGCGATTGTTTACCAAATATTAAAGAATATCTGAATTTTTAAAATAAAATCTTACCAATTTAATGCGATAATACTGTATATGTTAATTAATACAGTACTTTCTTGACGTTTATATAAAGTATCATATGTAGACTAATCCAACATTTAATTTACTAATATATAATTTAATAAATAAAACAAAAATCATTCGTAATAATTACTTACCAAGAAATAACGATGAATTCAAACAGTACAATACAAACTTATTATAAAAGAGATATTGCTATTTTCGTGAAAAATATAACGCATAATTCGTGCTAGCCAAACTGATATATCATCAATCTTTCCAAATAATATAAAATATTTCTGAAACTTGTATTAAAGGAAAAAATCTTTATAATTATCATTTGTTAAAGAATTCTAATTCATATTTTCTCTTAATAATTGCTTTGATATACATGTAATTCAATTTTTTTTGTACCAATAATTCTTTTATAAATTAATTACTAAAGTTTTCTTTTTTTATCAATACAAGCCATGCCTACTTTATTTATATGAGAAGCCCCAATTTATATATGTACATACATACGTTTAATGTCTCTATATATCAAGAATCGAGGTTTCACTAAATTACATTTTCAAAATTATGTCGAAATTTGTCATAAATTATTAATTGTTCATTTTGATATTTAAAATATTTTTATATGTACATCTTAGTGAATATTTGTAATTTTATGTACAAAATTGATGTTGTAAATATGCAAATTGAAATATTTATTATGTTTTTACTATTTTATTCATGATTAATTTTTTTTTCAAATTTACGATTTTATAGAAGCTAATATAAAAATTAAATTTTCTATTCAGTTTATTTCTGATAATCAGGCATTAAATTATAAATTATGTTAAATTATATAATAAATATTTATACAAATATTATATAATAAATATATATAAAAATATTTTTTCATAAATGATTAATTTTGTTAATTATAAATGTTTTAAATATTGATAGTTTTATTTATAAATTGTTAATTATATACAAATACCAAAAAAGTATAGATAATACAACAATAATATTCTTATTATTTATAAGTAAATTACTACTGTGACTTACAAAATTATTCGAAAAAGTGATTTATTTTATGTGACTAATAATTTTTTAATAATTATTTTTTTTAATTTTCTGCAACTTATATAAATTATTTACAAATATACATCAATTAACGATATATATATTTGCCCATTTGTCTGTTAAACAATGTTTAATGAGATTTTCGATAAGCTTATTGTATATCGTGTAATATAGTAGTTACTTATTTACATAATACATACAAATCAATATAAGTATACTAAAAGTTAATTTTATTTTTCTCATCTTTTTTCTTATTTGATCAACACATTTAACTGATTTTTATGAAAATAAAATCAATGAATATATATTTTTTAAATACAAGTTTCATTTTATAACTAATATCAGTTTCTAATATATATATATTGTTAAAATAAATCCATTAAATATATATTTTTTTTTTAAGAAAAACTTAATTCTTCAATTGTGTTTTATGTATACTTGAAACTTTGCATCTTTCGAAATTTGATTTAATAAAATCTATTATTATATGTTATCTGATTTTTTTTTTCTAAACTACAATTATTAGAAATATCTTGCCAACATTTTATCTTTTATTTTGGATTCGGTAGAATATTCATAATCATCCGTATACTTTTAATATTCAATAATAAATTAACTTAATGCATAACCCATAAGCTGTAATATTATTCATCGTAGAAAAGATATTGGATAAGCGTTTGTTGACCGAAATATTTGTTTACCTGTCTTAGAGTCTTTGCTTCGTCTAGGTTCTTTACCACGGCGACTAAGTGTTTCGCGGCTGCGATGTCTGCGTCTTATTGTTGTCACAGGCTTCGCAAGCTGTTGTTGGTCGTAGTTAATTTCATAAGGCTCGCGATAGTTCTTCGGTCGCCATGGCGCTAATACACTTACGCTCCTAGATACGGTGCGTGTATGAGCTGTAAGCGGACGATTCAATTCCTCACGACTTGCTGCACGCCGTCTCTCATTTGGACCCGGGATCTCTCCAACTTGAGCCCAAAATTAAAAGATAAATATTTGATTATTATACTAAAATAACATATTATTTGGCTTAGCTATTAAATGAAAGTTCACTTTAAAAATTTTTTTAAGAATAAAATTTTTTAAAAAACTATTAAACGTTGTAAATTAATAATATCAAGCACATGCAATAATTTGATACTTTAAGACTGTCAAAATTTAATATTTTATAAAAAATTTTATTTAAAAAAAATGTAATATTTTATTAAAATAGTATATAAATAAAGTCTGCTTTTTTTAAAAAATATTAATTTTTCTTCTTTATTAAAAAAGACATAAGGCAGACTTCTACAAATATTTATAAACTGTCTTTGCTGATTACAAGATAATAATCATCATATATATAGTTATTTATATTATAATACTATTACTATTAAATACGTATTTAACTTATACTATACATTGACTATGCAGTAATCAATGATAAGTAATTTATTTATGACGTAACATAACGTAAATGTTTATGTTCTTGATACAAGTTTTATACACATAAATTCTTGCATTTCAAATTAAACTAATGACTATAAATCGGATAAAAATTTGATGAATGAAGCACAGCAGGTAATTATATTTCTCATATATTTCTGTTTTAAATAAATTTTTGATGAAATGATTATTTAATCTATTTTTTATTTACCTCCTTTAAAAGAAAATAACAGTTTTCATTTATAATTATAACCATTAATATTTTATCAATACTTTAATATTTTTATTAAATAATAATTTACTATAAATTAATTATTTAAATATGGATCATATTATATAGCATTTTTTTTTATTTTTATATCGATATATTTTATGATACTAATTGTAAAAATACTATAATGTGATAATTTAAAAAATATTATTTTACTTAAACATAAGCGATTGAAAATTGAAATCGATATTATATTTGTTCGAATTAAATATGTCTATTAATGAAATTCTATTAAAAAATTAAGATGTATTAACTAGTAATAGAGATAAAGAAAAATATCGTTGGTCAACCTGTTGCAGCGTGTAAGTACACAACTGATCTTTGAGATCTTTGTGAGTTTTGACTCTGTTGACTGCTATCTCCTGTTGTACTTTCACCAGAGGATAATGCACTTTCTGTAAATCTGGAGGGCTTCCTTTGTGGTACTATGATTCCCATAGGGTGACGGCTTGTGTTCGTAATTTCACGACTGGTTTTGGTACGGTCATCTACTTGTTTGTTTCTGCAGTAAATACATTTTCTATTAATTTTATTCAAATAAAATGCATTAAAGAATTTAATTAATACAATTGTTTAAAATCTACTTTATATAGTTATAAGTTACAATCGATAAGTATTACATTCTAAAGTTTCTTAATATTACCTATAAAAATAATTATTCTGCTTTGTAAAATTTAGATAATGAACTATATAATTCAATTTTCTAAAGATAAATAATGTATTTCATGAAATTAAATGAAATGAGTTATTAATATTATATAGTCCAATTATCATTCGTATTTAAAAAATTAATAATTAATGTTTATAATTATTTTCTGTGGCATATTATATAATGCATAAGAACATACAATGGTATTTTAAACAATCAAGAGAAAGCCATAATTCAATAGTTTACTAATTGTAATTTATAATTGTTATATTATAATAATTTTATCATTTATTAGTGCTGAACTTCAAAATATTTTAAATCTTCGAATTTATAAAGAACTTTTTAAATATATTTCAATAAAGTATATCATGAATTTTATAAATATTACTTTTTAACTATGTTATTTGTATTTACCTATCGATTCGATTCGATGAAATTGACTCTTGATCGGTATCCCCGAAGAATCGAAGATTTTTTTGCACTGAAATTCGCTCGGGTACTGAAGAAGCTTCCTCATTTTCTGTGGCAGTTGTTAAAATCTCGCTTTCCGGTATTCGTGGCTCCTTGTCAACATGCTAAATACATTTAAAGCGTTCTTTACAATTAACTTTTCTTTTTAGAAATTTAAGAATATAACATTGAGTAATATGTATCATGAAATATCTTTGTATATTAGTAAGTACTGTCAGTAGTTTAAGATAAAATTAATTTGTTTACAGTTATAATATTATAAAATATAAATAACTCATTTTATCATATTAACTATCGACTTTAATTGAATTTCAAATCGAACTTATCGAATTCTGTCTTGAAATAATTTTTTTTTTTTATTAAATTATCGAATATGAGTATAGTTTAAGACATAGCCAAAAGTACAAAAAGGAATTTATTAAGAGCAAATAGGCAATTATTCTAATTCTATTTCACAGTATAAATAAGTATAATTGTATGAATATAAACATATTCAAAATAAACAAAGACCTAACGTATATGAATATTGAAAAGTGTATAAATATTTGAAAAATATTACCTTGTCCTTTAAAGCATAAGATACTATGTCACAATAAAAATAACATAACGAGTTTGTGATAAAAGTTATTTATAAAAAAAAAATAAGATTATTATTATTAATTACTGTAGAAATTGTATATTTTAACGTATTATGAAAATTTTATTTCAATACAGAGAATAACTGGCATACACTTCATCTTCATAATATTATTTAATTTATAATTTTAAATTAATACCAGAACCAAAAATTAATGATATAATAATCTAAATGGTTTTAAATACACCATGTAAATTAAACAATTTTATTATATTTGCGATGCATACTTAATTTTAATTTTTAATTTTTTTATGAAAAGATTATCATTTCAAATTGAAAAATGTTCTACGTAAGTATTGTAATTTATTTATTCGTAAAATTAATTTATTTACCGAGAATATAATAAAATTTGTTTTATTTATTTTAATTACTTTATCAACAAAAAATATACACACAGCTACTTATTAATTTATTATTAAAATGGAATGTGTTTCTTCAAAAATAAAATAAATTTAGATAATAAAATACGTAGGTATTAAAACATATTTGATAGTTAATTATATTTAATAGCTTTCCGAAATCATAAATGTAATATATCAGCCACGAATTCTTCTGTTTTAAAATAATGACATTTGTTCATAATTTATTAGTTATTAATATATTAAATTATATATTGAATACAATTAAAATTATACGTTTTAACTATTCTGAAGATATGAGTTATATTAATAACAATGTTTATTTGTTATTAATTTCAATTATATTAATTCAAATATATTGTAAATACTATGTTTTGAAATAATAGGTATTAACTATCTCAACATCTATAGTTCTAGTATTTATTTTAAAATATGGATAATGTTTTTTAATAAATAAAATAGCAAATATTTCTCGATTCAATCAAACATAGATGTATATATACATTAATAAATATTATTCATTTATATCAAAATTAAGGTTTACTTCATATTTTTGTTTTTGTTGATTTAAAATTTTTATTAATTTTATGTATTTATTTCTATAAATATCTTAATATGGACTGATACCTATAATAAAATATACACATAGTCAACTAAATTAAGTTTGTATTGGAATTATGTTCGTTATAAAAATAAAAAAAAAATTAAATCTACATTAGAAATTTAAGTAAGTAAGACTAGAATTTTGTGTATTTTTTTTCAAACAAATTCTATAACATTCGGTACATGCATTGGTACTATAAAAAATTTTGCTACTTCATTTTTTTTATTCAATACATTTAATTTATATAAATAATTGTTTTCTTTTAAGTTTATTTATTGAATTTTATTTTCTAAAAATTAATTGGAGAGCTCATTGAAATTAAAAAAACTTTATATGAATTTCATCTTGAAAACTATACTAATTTTTTAAATACTTAAAAACAATTATCAAAATATTGTATAACTACTGTTCTAAAGGTTGGCGATATAATGAAACAGGGTAAGTACTTCTTTAAAATTATTCGTTTTAGATCAAACTAAATAATTAGGCACATGGATTAAGTATTATAAAAATATGAAGAATGCTTATTGTAAATTTATTTATAAATTAGGTTATAAATGTTATAAAAAAATTAGTAAATGCAGAAAAGAAATGTAAAATTATAAAAATATTCTTGGAATTCTTATTTTTATTTACTTTCGCACTGGATTTATTTTTGCGGGATAAAGATTTAAACCATCCCTTTCTCTCAGCCTCTTGAACTTGATTATCCTGCATGGGGGTACTTTTAAGATAGCGAAGTTGTTGAATGGGTTGTATAAGTGTTCCAGTTGATCGTGATAATCTTGAATGTTGCGGTGGACTTGGACTTCCGCTGGGTGTCGATAAACGTCTACGCTGCCTGTATTCATCCTACAATAAAGGAACAAATTATAACTTTAAGAACAAAAATTAAATTAAGTAATAATAATAAGTTTTATATTTTCATATGGTATAAACTCAATATTTTCATTGGAAATATCTTTAATATTCATGAATATCTTAAAAATAAATTTTTTGAAATCATAAACGAAAAAAAAAATTAATAAATGTCATAAAATGACAAATTTTTTGTACTCTCAGATAGCATGTGTAAATAGAATCGATATGAATCGTGGCCTTATATATAAATCCATCAAATTTTTTATCTGTGAATAATTTTATAATAATTATTGTTCATCTTTACAATCTTACATCTTCTACATCATTAAACTTGTTCCAATCTAAAACTAAGAATAAGTGATTTTATATAAAACTAAAATAAATGCAAATTAATTATTTAAAACAATTAAATAGATTAAAAAAAAATGTTATTATAATTATATAATATATATTTTAAAAAGATGATCATAGAATGGATTTAAGTAAATAAAAAAGTATAATTAACTAAAAATAGATGAATGACTATATTCATGAACTAAAAATATTTTATTTGTACGTGAAATATTTATAATAATATTAACTTTACTAGTTATATGCAGAAATGCATGTATAATATAAGTACAAAATTAAAGTGTATTAGAGAATTGTTTGAAAACTTCTGGTAGATTGATCTTATTCAAAATAAAATAGAATTGTAGAAGTATTTATTGGATAAATTAAAGTTAATTTTGCTCATATTTTAATTTAATATTCTCTATTTTATCATTGAAATAAATTTGAATTTTTCTTTTATATTTTTAAATTTCCTATAAATATCTAGAGTTTTCTAATATTTAATCATTCATTAAAAATTCTTTAATCGATTAAATTAAAAATATCATTATGCATAAAAAGAAACATATTTACTTTATAAAATTATTCTGTATGTGTAGAAATTCATTTTTTATAATGAAAATGAATAAAACTATAATAATATACATATATAAATATAATATAATATAAAATAAAATATATTTTTCTTTTAAAAAATATAAAAGAAAGTAAATTATATAAATAAAATATTGTTATAAATTATTCATTTCATGTATTTTTTTATTTTGAATTATTTAAAACTTAGCAAAATCATGAAGCAAAATGACACGTACTATTTATTTAAATAAAAAACTGACTATGTAATGTATATAATGAATTAAAATATTTTTATGGAGTATATATATAATTATATAAAAATAACATATTATTTATTGGAATTTATATATAAATAAATTGTTATCAAATTTTATAGAAGTTTTAAAACTGATTAATAATGATATAAAAATGTTTGCATGTAGAATATGTGATAATTAAAATCTTGTATTTCTATATATTTATAAAAAAATTAATTTAAAGTTTCAGTTAGAATTAAAAGGAACTTAATATGAACTATAATTTAAACATTATTTATGTACGAAAAGTAATAAGAAATATTTCTACGAATATCTTGTAATTTTTCTTTTCTTGAATAAGAAAGCATTTTGGTTACGATTTATTAAACAATATTATTATGAATGTAAACATTATATGCAAAATAGAAAATCATAATTGAGAGATCATAAACTTAGAGATCATAATTTTATTTTTGTTCTTATTCTCTTTATTTTTTTATATTAGGATATTATAAAAAGACAAATAATTGATATATTTTTGAGTCTTCTATAAGTATAAATGTAATAAGAATATAAAAAAGGGAAATGAGAAATAGGAGGAGTTGGATGAATAACTGAAAAATATGCAAAATATAAACTACATCGATGGCTGTAAGTAGTTACTATATATTCTACTTCTTGTTCCACTTAATTTTTTTCAAATAAGTAAAGCAAAATGAATGTAGATATACGTAACAGTCAGTATTTTTGAGATTTATACTACAATCTTATAATGAATGTCTTTTGTAAGCAAAAGAAAAAGTAAGCTACAAAGAACGCGTGCTTCTGGTCAAATTACACATCACGACATTCTTTTTTCCTTTCTCCCATACTTTCTCTATCAACTTTCTTTCATTACTGAATTTTTTTGTTTGCTTTAATATACACTTTTTTATGTAGTTAATGATTTTTTATTTTATTTTTTTTTGCATTATTCACTATTTATATATATAATTCATATATATTTATATATAATATTTATAATAAATATATGTGGTTTATAGTGTACGTTTGCTATATACTATGCTTATATATATCGAGATTTATAATAAGTAATATTATATTATACATATTTATTCATAGAATTTTGGGGAAAAAATCTTATTTTGGTTACTTCATAAACTATAAAAATAGCTGACTAGTAACTTAGAAAAATATATATATTAGAAAACTAATAATGACTTATATTATTGATTTTTACAGTTATATGCTATTATCGATGACTATCTTTATGATGTTAAAGTTTATTCATATAAAGTTCGAGAAAATATACAAAGAAACAATAATTTTTAAGATACAATAATTCATTATTATTGTATTCATTTATTGTTCAAATTGTTTGAAACATAATAATTTTACAAAAAATACATAAAAGAGTTTAAATAAAATATTTCACAAATATATATAAATGAATATAGAAGAAATATCATACCAATTGATCAATATTTATTAATAATTATTCAATATAAAATTATTTTAATGAAATTTAATGTTTACATATATTAATGGTTTAATTTAATTAATTGATAATGCACCATAAATGAATAATGTTTATATCTGTTTTATTTTATAGGTAGAATTTAAAATGTTTAATTATATATTTATTATAATAATTATGTATAAAGTTCATGAGAAATACTTAATGAAGTACATATAAGAATACATAATATATTAAAATTAATAACAATTGTGCTTTTTTACTTACGTGTAGTAAAATTCAAGGAACTCAAATTTTCACAAGAACTTATAGTAACAAAAATCACTAAATTTAACATAGTTGTAATTAATATATATGAAATTATAAAATCAGGTATGACATGATAAATTTTTTTCTTTAAAATTATTAATATTAAAAATTTTTCCGTGTGTTAGTAAAGTACTTTCAAACTATTTATTTATTAAAGAAATATGCTTTATTATATATTCCATTTGTAAAAAACTCTTTAATAAAATTTAAATATTTATTTATATCTAAATCACTTTTTAATATTTTCTTCAAAATTTAACTAAATGCAATTATTAAGAAATAGAAATATTGTAATATCGATAAAATTTTGATGGAAATAGTAATAAAGATAGGACAAAGATAAATTAGGCAAAGGTTAAATTAAATATAAAACACTACAGTGTTTTATAAAGAAATTAAAATAATAAGTTCAAAGATTTCATTATTTAGAGTCTAAATTTAGATATAAATAATACTGATAGTGTATCCAATCAAGTATACATAAAAGAATATGTTAATATGATGAATAAAAAATATTGAAATTTATAAAGCATAAACAAATAAATATACTGCTGATTTAAGTTAATAAATTTGAAAAAATACCAATTTATTTATACAAATATTAAAATTTATTGACAACCTTTTCTCAATTTTTTTACTTATTTGTACAGTAGAAAAACTGTTGTATGTTAGCTGAAAAAAATCTTATTTCGACTACTAAGTTCTAAAAGAAACAAGAAAAAAGAAATGAGCAAGATTTAACTTCTGTTAAAAGATGAAAAAAATGGTCGTGGAAAAATTGTGCAAGAACTACAAGAATAAAATGCTTAAAAAGACAAAGCGTTTTTGAGAATAAAATACTTTATGTGTGTGATAATTTACCATTGATAAATAAATGAGAAAGAGAAATGATAGAAACTTGATTATACCTCACAATCACTACAAAAACTTGAGAAGAATATAGACACTTGATGCGTTCAGTTAATATATAAAAAAAAATGTACATTTACATTTGCTTTTCATTTTTTTTAATTTTTATAACATTTCTAGACTTTTTGATCAACTATTTTTATCACTTTTTATTGTATTTGTTTTAATAAAAGTAAATGATTTAAAAAATCTAATATATTAAAAAACTATAAAAAATTGTATCAATACTTCATAATTAAATAATAAAACTATGCAAGAAAAGGGAAACATTAATAAAATTAATTTACTGTCAATAATTCTATTTTTTATTTGATTTAATGCTCTTCTTATTATGTCAATAGATCTTTAAAGTAAAAGTATTATAGTATTATATTTAGAATAATTGTAGTTATAATAAAGATTTAAATTTACAGTTTTTATTATTTATATGAAATAAATAATTTTTTAAAAGTGGCAGTATTTATGATTTTATATTTTTTGTCTTGATTTAATTTTTAAAAAAATATAAATCAAAATAATTAATATATATCACGATATATTAAATTTTTTATTATTTTCTTTTTCATTTTCTATAAATGAATTAATTATTCTTGTCATGCTATTAAATGCATTTTCTTTTATATACATATTGAAATAGAGATATTGTGACAGGATGCATAGATTTATGCGAGTAAAAGAAGTAATTGGTGCTTTTGCGAAACGAATCTAATACTAACTGAATATGGGAATGAAAGAAGAATAGAAGCTGAATATTAATTATGGACATCGTACCTTATACTCTCAGCAGTGCAGGAAACTCTGGATTCTATTTCGCGTCATGGACTCTATTTCCCGACAGCTTATCTTTTTTCTCGTTCAATCAACTGTAATTTGTAATTAACCCATTTCATATACAGCAGATGAATGATTTTCCTACAAAAAGTCCTATGTTCTAAGCGTTTTTGTATTTTCTATCTATTATTCCTATCCATTTTATACAGCTTTTTCTAAAATACTTTTACGTAATTATTATGTATAGCCTTCTTTTCATTTAATTGAAAATTCAAACCAATTCTAATTCCTTTAATGATAATTATTTGATGGTAGTAATATAGTATACTTGATAATATGCATCCAGCTACTAAGAAAATCGAAAAAAATGTTTATTTTAA